TGTCTTTTGTTTTTCACTAGAAATGCATTCATAGTAAAAGCTGATATAAAAGTGAACTCTAAATATACTCTCTTCTTTATAGATTATAATAATTTCATAGTTACTACTTTAGTTACTGTTCTATTGCTGTGAAGAGACAAGATGACCAAGGCAAATAATAAAACAAGGCATTTGATTGGGGGGCTATGTCAATTTCAGAGGATTTCAGAAGGTAAGTCCATGACCATCATAGCAGGGAGCATGGTACTAGATCAGTAACTAAGAGCTTATTGGAAAGGTGGAGTCAAAGAGAGTCAGAGACAGAGACAGAGAGATACACACTGGGAATGCCATGGGCTTTTGAATCCTCAAGATCCCAACCCATTGATACTCTCCTAGAAAAATTCCACATGTCTTACTGAGTCCTTCCCAAACAATTTACCAACTTTCAACCAAATGTTCAAAAATACTAGTTTGGGACGGGGGAGTTATTCTCATTCACGCCACCACATCAATATTTACCTTTGAAGGTTCAACCTAAATAAATATAATGTTGACAGTTAAAATAATCTAGAATTTGAGTTAAGTAGTAAGGTCAATTCCAAAGGCAAACTATACTCACAGGAGCTTCTCGGTTTATGTTGCAGACCTAGAAAGATGACTTAGCAGTTAAGAGTGCTTCCTATTTTTCCTGAGGACCCACACTAGGTTCTTATCACTCACAACTGCCTGCAACCCAGATCCAGGGGACACAATGGCCTCTTTTGACCTCCATGGGATCCAGCCTCACATGCATATACACACAGACACATATTGAAAGATGAAATAAAAATCCTTAGAACATGTACTTACGTGTTTCTTGGAAGAATGAGATGTATGAAAAACATGATCACCGTTTATATTATACAAACTTCATGTCCCATGTGGCTCTACATAGCATCACAGATGGATAAAAGAAGTGAAGTTTTACACACAGCATTATTTTTGAAAATATTTGTTTGTATATGAATAGATTTAAGGATTGAAAATGTGATTATCAATAAAAAGAAAAAAGGGGAAGCCAGGATAAATTAAATATTCCTTTAGAGATGGAACAGTAATAAATTTTATAATCCAGGCTTTGGTTTGACCCTTGATCACTTCAACCTCCTGATGATGCTGTTTCTAACAAGGATACTGGCTTTCCTGCATTCTTCTCCTCTGCTATGGATTTATGTAAGCATAGGTGCGTAGGATTTGCTTATTAGACTGGTAAAATCCGGTCTCCCAATTGTGGAGAAACACAGAGGAAGAGATGATGTAAAGATAAATGTGTAATCAAGTCCTTTGGGAGAGAAGACAGGGAGTGCTTCCTATCTAAGCACAGAATCAAAGATAAACATTGTACTTGAGCTCAATTCAAATAAAATTCCACTGAAGGGAATAAAGTGTTCTCTATCCAATTCTTTCCCTTAAAAAAAGAAAATATAATACCTTTGGACTTTTCTAAACCTATGATTATCATCTAAAAAGACCTGATCAGTTTGGAAACAGGGAAAAGCACTTTGTTTTACAAGGAATAAATTATTACACATGTACCCAAGCTATAAGGTACCTTACTGAAGTAAATCTGGAGTAAACTGAACTTTATCATTATAACATAACTACCTTTTGTATGCATTTTAGGGTATATTCTCTAGGCTTGGAGATAAGGTGGAGTAGCCATTCAGAATCCACCTGGCACAGTCTTAGTGTAGGTGGCTGTGTCTCTGCTGGGATCACAAGTTTGTAAACATTCTCCTAGACAGGTAAGTGGGAAAGTAGCATGATATTCCCCAAGACTTATAAAGGGTAAATGCTCATCCATCTCACAAAGAAGCATAAGGAAAAGAAAAGAGGTAGAATGTAAATGAACCTCGGTAGTCTGAACAATTAACCTGATGAATCAAGGGGTATTACTCCTGTATAATCACCTTCCTAGTTACTGTTTGGAATGTATGATTAAGGAAAATTTGAGAAACTGGGACAAGGGATAAGTTGATGAGTTCTAGCTTTGTCAGTATTTCTGAAGAAGGATTCAGGAATGACAGCCCCCCAGCCCCCACCCTGGTGATATAAGAAAGAATTTTCTTAGATAAGGTGTTCCAAAATTTTTGAACTTTTACAAATGTGTGCTCTACCTATCATTCTCATATGCTTCCTTAACCAGCAAATGATGTGGTGAAATTGTCGGTAACGGAGGCATGAAGAGCAGAACCATTTTAATTTCTCCCATCTGGTACATTAGCATTAATAAAAGATTTTTAAAAGGAGAAGCCTTGAAAGGATTTCACCTCTTTATTTAACAAGGTAATAAGGAAATCTTGCAATCCGCCACTCAATATAACCAGTAAGAATAAGAGCAAGCAGTGTGGTGATCACAGATATTAACCCTGGGGACAATTTTTAAAACCCTGCTGATTATAATACTATGTGTTAATACTAAGAAAAATCTGTTGCTGTTACTTTTTAGTATAAGTTTAGTAACAATATTTCCATTTGTAGTAAGATGTTCTACATAGATTGAAGGAAACAAAACACTAATATTTATTTTATTTCTGAATGAACCAAAGTGAATCTCATTTTAGCTACCTTAGTTTTATTATTGAATGTTTAATGATTAGTTTAGACTAAATTGATTGTATGCATACATATATATATATACATATATACAATCAATATTTGTTGTTCCACTCAATTATGTTGTTATTAAACTCTCACCCTCCTTGCCAACAGCTCATTAATATCATCCCATGTATCGTGAGTTTTTGATGGGATATGGGAATATTTTGCTTATGCTGGCAATCTCAATTAAAATGGGTTGTGAGAATCATAAACTTCTTAACTGGAAAATTACCTGGATAGTTGGTCCAAGTTTTTATGACTTTATTGGCTGATCCTTTTGACCACAGCTACAGTTCAACATAATAGCATAGCTGAATATTATGTAGAGTAATAAAATGAAGCATTCGTAAAGGGACTTAAGAAAAATATATCCCAGCTCAATTCCTTGCCAATCCTTGACTTTCATCAAAACACTGACGAATTAATCCTATTACACTAAGAATCAGTCTTGGGATAAAAACATAATCACAAGTATTCTGGTTCTAAAAAAATAAAAAGAGCCATTGGCTATATCCACCCACTATAAGTATTGGTTTATTTACAAAATTCATAGACATATTATTTTTAATTTAAGTGAATGAAAAGCTTTATTTTATTATGTTACAGTCATTGAAGAAAAAATATTTGGTTGTATGCAGCTTAAATCTATGAACCATGATGTAGATGTCTGATAATATCCTTACGGCAGTATGAACTATCTATAGGATAGATAATTTACATAAAGAAAAATCAATAAGTACTTAGGGGTTGCACAAAAGTTTCAGGTTTTCATGGTATACTATACAAACCTCAAGACAATACTAGCATAAAGAAACATAAAAAAACAATAGCAACTGCAAGATGATTACACTATTGCTGTAAAAGTTGCTACTGTGTATCCTATTTCTCAATTGAATGCAACTATGTCTACTTTCAATTCCAAAGTAACAAAAAGTAGGATAGACTGGAGAACAGTAATCAGAATTCTATGTATTGTGGGCTAAATGAACCTATAGGAGTCATGATAACCCCATAGAAACAATCGCATGTGTTTAATTTTATATAGTTTAAATTAATCAGAAACGTTATTGTACTTTTTAGATCAAAGGCTAAAACTTCAACAAAACCCTATTGTGTATTAGAACTACAGAATGCACAGTATAGTTAAATCACTGAAAAAACATCATGAAATAAACATCTAAGTCTTTATTCATTCTCAATATGTGGAAAGAAGGATAAGATTTTTCATGGCATCTAGGAAAACCCATCCTTTCCTGTATTCTTCATTTAGTATTAATTCTAGTAATCCCCTAATTAAATATGCTTAATTTCTTCAAAATTCTAAAAAATAAAAATGAAAAGGAATATTTAAAGCTGGGTTTCACAAGTACTAACAGCTTTATTTTCAATAAAAGGGTTATATCTTCAGTTTGAATAATTTTTTCTTTCATTTTATCACTGATTGATAATTTAATACTATATTATTACCATTTTATTTTAAAATTGGGTAAAGGGCATTGGTTAACTCACATAAAGGTCAAGGTGATGAACATCTATCAATTATGTTTCAAAAGATGTAACCAGTGGAGAGAAATTCTTTGTTGTTGTTGTTGTTGCTGTTGTTTTGTTTTTCAAGACAGGGTTTCTCTGTGTAGCTTTGGAGCCTATCCTGGTACTCGCTCTGGAGACCAGGCTGGCCTCGAACTCACAGAGATCTGCCTGCCTCTGCCTCCCGAGTGCTGGGATTAAAGGCATGTGAATTGTAAGAGTGGTGTATGTTGCAATGCTTGGAGAGTAAAGCATACTTGATATAAGTCTCTCCAAAAAGAGTTGTAAATGATGCTAGTGAGCAATCATATTTATGATATATCCTCAGAGCAAGGCTTTCTGAAAAATTGGCAATCCTTTGATGTGAATTTTCCAAGATGTATAAACAACTTTAATATAGTTTCCCAATAGGTTTAGAACACAAAGGTAAAATCTTTGTTCAGGAAAATACAGCATGTGCATGCTGGTCGCCTGCTTAAATGGCTGTGGTTCTGTTGAGAAGTCATCCTGATGAGCTCAGTGCTTCCTTTGCCCTTCCCCATGTGTGGATGACTCATTTAACAATCCCTCATCACTGCTGGGAAAGTGATGGAAGCAAATTCTATAATGGTAGAATCATCACTTTGCCTAAACACACACACACACACACACACACACACACACACACACACACAATTGTATTTCTATCAGGTATTGGTCCCAATTACCTCAGCATATATAAAAGGCAAATACGAAACCTAAAAATATAAGGTAAAAGCATTGAAAATTAAACTTGGTTTAACCTTTGTTTTAAAAAGTAACTTACTCTCCTGCCCTTCCCTCCCCATAGGGCTGGAGGCACCAGCGTCAAACAGGGAGACTGCTGCGCACACCATGTCAAAGAAAAAAGGACTGAGTGCAGAAGAAAAGAGAACCCGTATGATGGAAATATTTTTTGAGACAAAAGATGTATTTCAACTAAAAGACCTGGAGAAGCTTGCTTCCAAAGAGAAGGGCATCACTGCTATGTCTGTCAAAGTGGTCCTTCAGAGTTTGGTAGATGATGGCATGATTGACTGCGAGAGAATTGGAACTTCCAATTACTATTGGGCCTTTTCCAAACAAAGCCAGGGAATGAAAGGTCTGACTTTTCAGCTATGGGAGGGAAGCCAGAGGCATGCAAACCTACAGAAGAGCATTGAGAAAGCTAGAATTGGGTGGCAAGAGACAGATGAACAAGCCATGCTTACAAAAGAACTTTCTTCATTTCGGAACCAAAGGGAACAACTTAAAGCAGAAGTCGAAAAATACAGAGAATGTGGACCTCGAGTTGTGGGAGAGATATGTCAAGCCAATAAAGTAGCCAAAGAAGCCGCCAAGTGATGGACTGATAATGTATTTGAAATAAAATCCTGGGCCAAAAGAAAATTTGGGTTTGAAGAAAATAAAAAAAAAAACTTTGGAATTCTGGAAGACTTTGACTACTTAGACTATAATGTTTGGTGATAAAGGATTTGTGAGCTTATGGATTGTCAAGTTTTAAATACTATCTAACTAATGGTAATGAATTTTCATCTATGTGTTAACTGTTTATCATTTTACAATTTTAAATAAAGTATAGAACAAGAAAAAAATGTAACTTACTTTTTATTTTTTTCCCCAGGTATTATATATAGTGTCTTTATCATATTTGTGTCTATTCTTTCCATACTTCCTGCAACTCCTTTTCCTCCTCTCTTCCATTCTCATTTGTCTTTTCTGCCCCACCCTCAAGAGTTTTATTTCTACCTTCATGTCCTGATTGTGTGTGTGTGTCCCTACAATCTAGGAATAGAAAATGAGGAAATAGTATATTTGTTTGTCTGATATTGTCCAAATTCTCATAGTATGGTTATCTCCAGTTGCTTTGTTTTTGCTACAAACAAGAGTTCATTCTTTATGTCTGAAAAAAATTTCAAGCTTGCTTGAAATTAAAAGGAATGGAGTATTCATTCACAAATAATCCTCTAATGTTGGGAAATTACCAATATGGAGCCAGGTAAAAATACAAGGGAATTTAATAGGGACAAGCCTTACTTAGAGAGCGATCTAGCCAGCCGAAGGGCAACAGTAAGTACAAGCCCAAACGGAAGATGAAAATGAAAGCATACTTTCACTTTCGTACTACATAAACAACCCTCGAAGGCGTGGTCAGGCACACCTGTAGCCAGCCCCTAAGCAGACATGGCTACAGCATCCCCTACAATACTTGAGCAATAATAAGGAAAGTACAAAACAATCCTGGAGCTTCATGTGGAAAAACAAAAATGATTTAAATGTTTGTAAAGAGAGCAGGAGAGGAGGCAGAAAGAGCCTTCAAAACCAAAGCAGGAAAATTTGAGCAACAGATTACTAGTGTACTAAATTACAGGTACGTGATTAAATAATGAAAGAAGTGAATGCTTCAAGAAGATTTCAAATTGATATAGTAGATTATTCCCTCCAATAGTTGAGACTGATACTGCTCCTCTAAGCACAGATTAGTGTTAGTAACTGCTGAGGGACAGAGCACGAGTGGAAAAGTAGTGATTTACAGTGCAAAATCCAGGAGCAGACCTCCTTATGAAGAATAAACCTGCCATCACTGGTGATGGCCTGTGGGTACAATGTGCTAGCTGATCTTCAGTACAGAGAAACCCACCTTCATGGCAAACTAGAATTCCTGCCAGGACTTCTTAAGACTCAAGACAATGAAAAATAGGGACACACTGGTAAGTTGTCACAGTTGAGAGGATCATAGGAAACATGATGCATGTGTATAAATTGGCTGTGGAATGTTAGTATAAAAGCTTGTGAAAGATAACTAGTATAGAAATCAGTAATAATTCAATAATAAGCAAACTGTTGTTTTTTTAATTTAAAAAATGAATTGTGGTAATGTAAGCATAAAGACTGAAGTTCAGATTTCCGGTACACACAAAAATGCCAGGTGGGAGTCATGGCTTTCTTGTAACTCCCACATTCAGGAGACAGAGATAGGCAATCCCTGAAGCAGTATGAATACAGAAACTAGGCAAATATGCATTCAGAATTAGGTTTCTGTATAAGTAACCTCAATATATAAGACAGAAAGTAATACAGAAAGACACAAAATATCAACCTGGCTTTCATACACTCTCTCACATACATGTACACTCATAAACGCACACATGCAAAAAACACATACAAGCATGCATATCATGTCCATGAACATTCAAAGAAATTTGAGAAGAGAATCCAGAAATCATTAGTTATGATTAAGTGGATTTTCAAGGAAGTATTAAGATCATTCCATTCATTTATTCAAATAAAATATTGTCACTTCAATAAATGATGCCTACTTTTAGATTCTAAATTGTTGTCTCATGCTATGTATAAATGAAAATCAAAAACTGGGCCAAAAGATTAAATAACAGAGAGAAAAACCATAAACCTCTCAGAAGACATAAGGGAAAGCTTTCATAATGTTGAACTTGACAATACAATGTGTTTTTTGTTTGTTTGTTTGTTTTTGGAAATGACATCAAAACTTGAGCAGCAAATGAAACAATAAATTTAATTTCATCAAAATAAAAAATAGCATGTGGTGCATCAAATTACTTTGTCACTGCAATTGAAAGAAAACCCATGAAATGGGAGATAATCACATAATTAATAAGGGGGATAACCACTTTAAATATGGGCAAAATCTGTAATGGACATTTTTCCACAGAAGATAAACAAATAACCAATGTGAATATGAAAGTATGCTCAGTGCAACAGGTTTGCAAATGTTTCCAAAGTCACCAGTATTTTTCCAGAATGTAGATAAAGTGGAATCTTTGTGCACTTCTAGCAGGGATACAACATGGTATAGCATACTGATTCCTACAAACACTAAACATAGAATTATCATGATTTATCAATCCTACTTCTGGTCATCTGCCTAAAATAAATGAAAAGAGAGCAAAGCAGATGTTTGCACACTAGTGGAAAAATCACCACCATCCACATAGTTACTCCTGCTGTGTGTGTGTGTGTGTGTGTGTGTGTGTGTAACTTTTCCCCACCTTCAAGATTAGTTGTTCAAAAGCTACCACAATCCCATTTGAGGTCTCATTTCTCTATAGTGACCCTAAACCTCACTCCCTGGCAGCTCTAGCAGGGAGTTTTTGGTGAACATGTTCTGAAGCAACACAGCAAGGTGCTCTTTAAGTCTGTGAATAGAAGGCTAGTTACAGTCTCTCAGGTTATAAAAACTTCAAATGTAACCAATTAATTGCTCTCAAAACATTTATAATGGCAAGTTTCAAAGTTCAACTGAAACAATCAGATTGACACAAAAATATGCGCTCACATGTTTGTTGAATTCATTATACTACAAGTAACTTCTTTTTTAATCCAAAAAGCAATTATAATGTTTCAAATGCAATCTGTAATTTATTACTAAGTTATCAATTAATGCTGGGAATATTCCACATTTGACATTGTTTAAGTTTTACATAAATCCAGCAAAGGAAAAAATGAGAAGTATACATGTGGCAAACTCACTGAGTTACAGATTTACAATTAAAATTTGACCAGGCTTTAGACACTTAAGCATTTAATTGACCATAGAATTCTGAAACATGTTACAATGATTCTATTATAGAAAATACATATTTAAAGGTACATACCTAAATCATGACAAATATTGCCCATCATATTCTAGTTTTGTTGAAATTTCTTTTTTTAAAGACAGGATTACTCTTGACTCAGAGACATAATCTCTTAAAACATACCATGTGTGTGTGTTGCACATGCAAAAGAGCAGCCCTAATTGGTTCACTGTATTGTTTGGCTTCTTTGCTGCTGTGTTCTGTACAAAAGAATTAGCTCCTTGCCTAGTGGAGGTCCGAGGTTGTGTTTCTGAAAAGAAGCACTGGATGATCCAGTGTGAACCCTGACACATGTTTGAACTAGAACCATCACACTTTGTTTACCATCCTGTTAAGAAGTAACACAAACTATCTCAGGTTTTGCTCTTAGTATCAATGCTTGTAAGATATATTTTTTTTCTAATTTACTGAAGAGAACTTATAAAGTATGCAGTGAAGAGAAACAGGGAATAGAATCATAGCTGATGATTTATTTTGGTTCGATGAGCCAACATTTTGTTATTTGGGTACCATAAGCCAAACATAATGGTTGTTTTTCATTTTAATGAAAGTGGTAATAATATACTATTTAGGAGATTTGTCAATCAAGTAAACAGAGAATTCTTAGAGAAGTCTAAGACTGGGTGCCACAGAAATTTCAAACCTTATCTTAATCTGAAGATCTGAGTTTGTGGCTCAAGTGCGCCAGGAGATTTGAAGTCTCTTGTGATGAGTAAAGATAATGCAAAGCACTAGATCATTTTCGTTAACTTCTGATTTGATAGTCATCATTCCTTTTCTCCTCCTCTTTTAATTTCAACCTATTATTTTATTTAAACATAAATTATTCTTTCTACTATAAGGCAATTTTCTCATGCAGTTGTGCTTAAATTTTGTTTCTTCTTCCTCCCCTATTTTTATCACCAATACTATAGACTTCAGGATAGTTCACACTCCACAACCATCTTGCCCTATGATCACTGCTATAACTCATACTTATCAGCTATGCCTATGAAAGAGTCAGGATATAAAATGTAAAATACAACTTTTCATTGTTTGTCATTAGAATATAATTGGAGCTAGGAAACAAGGACGACCCCAAGAGAAGATTGCTTGGTTCCTCGAAGAAGGGGAGGAGGACAAGTACCCCTGAGCAAATTGGGAGCATGGGAGAGAGGAAGGAGGTGGGAAGGGGAGAGGGGAAGGAGAGTGGAGAAGAGAACAGGAGGACTGAGAAGGGAGGAATAGAGGAAGGCAAGAAAGGTTTGAAGAGAGTTCTGGCACAGGGGAAATGTTAAGGGATCCTCTACAGGGATGACCAAAACTAAGAATCTAGGCAGTGGTGGAGAGGCTGCCTTTGATGCCCTTCCCCTATAATGAGATTGATGACTACCTTGGATACCATTCCTAGAGCCTTCATCCAGAAGCTGATCGAAGCAGAAACAGGCACTCACAGCTAAAAACTGAGCCATACTCCTGGAATCCAGTTGCAGAGAGGGAGGAGGGATGAGCAACGGAGCCAAGACTGTGCTGGAGAAACCTGCAGAAACAGTTGACCTGACCTAGTGAGAGCATAGAAACTCTAGTCCTAAAGCTGGGGAACCAGCATCAGACCGAATCAAGCCCTTGGGATATGGGTGCCAGTTAGGAGGCCAAGATAGCCTATGGGACCTCTAACAGTGGAGGCCAGTGTTTATCCCTGGAGCACAAATGGACTTTGAGAGCTTATGGACTTTGAGTACCCTATGG